TGATGGCACTCAGGTGACCTGGTGATGGGAAACCCATGGGGATTACAATTGAGGTGAAAAAAAAAATGTACAAAATGATGTAAAAATAAACTGTTATATATGTATATATAAAAGTCTCAATGACATTCTACAAAAAAAAATAGAAAAAATATTGATGAGATTCATATGGAACACAAAAGACCTCACATAGCCAAAACTCTCATGACTAGGAAGAGAGAGAATGGAGGCATTACAATCTCAAACTTCAAGCTATACTGCAAAGCCATAATAATCAAAACTGCATGGTACTGGAACAAGAGCAAACATACAGACCAGTGGATTTGATTAGAAAACCCAGATATAAACCACAGGTTTATGGACAGCTAATTTCTGAGAAAGGAGAAAAGAAGATACAATGGAACAAGGAAAGTCTGTTCAGCAAATGGTGCTGGGAAAACTGGGAAGCTACATACAAAAAAATGAAATTAGATCACTACCTCTCACCATACACAAAAATCAATTTGAAGTAGATTAAAGACCTATACATAAGAACAGAAATCATAAAATACCTGGAAGCAAAGATGGGCCAAACACTACACAACATACACTTCAGTGACATGTTTAAAGACAGAGCACCCAACGCCACAATAGTGAAGGCAAGGATAAATAGACGGGACTACATCAAGTTAAAAAGCTTCTGTACAGCAAAAGAGACATTACAAAAAAACAAATAGACATCCTACTGATTGGGAAAAAATTTTCTGACACAAAACTAGCAATAAAGGATTGATCACAAAAATATATGGAGAACTGACAAAAGTCAACAAAAATAAAGCCAACAACCCTATCAAAAAATGGGCAGAAGAGCTAAAAAGACACTTCTCCAAAGAAGAAATTCAGATAGCCCAAAAGCATATGAAAAAATGTTCAACATCACTCATAATAAGGGAGATGCAAATTAAAACCACAGTAAGATACCAGCTCACCGCAATAAGAATGGCACATCTTCAAACAACTAGCAATAACAAATGTTGGTGAGGATGTGGAGAAAGAGGAACTCTCCTGCACTCTGGTGGGAATGCAAACTAGTAAAACCTCAATGGAAAACTGTTTGGATGTTCCTCAAACTGATAAACATGGAGCTCCCCTACGACCCAGCAATCCCACCCGTAGGTATCTACCCCAATGACACAAAAGCACTGATTCAAAAAGATACCTGTACCCCCGTGTTTACTGCTGCTTTGTTCACAATTGGAAAGACATGGAAACACCCCAAATGCCCAAGAATGGATGACTAGATTAAAAAGATGTGGTACATATAGACAATGGAATATTACTCAACAACCAAAAAAAAGAAACACACATCTTTTTCAGCAACATGGATGGAGCTGGAAAAGATCATTCTTAATGAAATAAGCCAGAAAGAAAAGGAAAAATACCGGATGGTTTCTCTCATAGCAGGAATATAACATAACAGGTGAGAAAATAATAATTATGAACAGCTATATACCAGAGACATTTTGTGGAGGTTGAGTGGGAAATGGGATCAGAAACAGTTGAGGGGAGGGAAATGCATTGGACTATGGTGATGACACATAGGTAATTTAGTGATGAGAAACCCAAGGGGATTGCAACTGGAATGGAAAAATGCACAAAATTATGTAAAAACAAACACATATATATATAAAAATTAAACACCTGGGGGCCCTCCCCGGTGGTGCAGAGGGTTAAAGCACAGCACTATGAGGATGGTACAGCCGCTCAGGTGCAAGTTTGATCCCCAGCAGAGTAGGTGACCCATATAGCACAGCAGACCTCTCCTGTCTCAGCCTTTGTTCCCCTTAGCAGTATACTTCGTCAGTTGGCCTGTTGCACTCCCCACTCTGTCTCTAATGAATCTTCTTACCATCCCTGCACCTCTGGCCTGTACCCCAGTTCTGTATGCATAAATTATCTTCAGAAAAACATACTTAAGGCCCTCCCTGGTAGCACAGTGAGGTAAAGCACAGAACTAAGAAGCTAAAGCCAGCCTTCAGCATGAGTTCGA